AAAAAAAAAAAAAAAAAGAAAAAAAAAAAAAAAAAAAAAAAAAAAAAAAAAAAAAAAAAAAAAAAAAAAAAAAAAAAGAGGTATTATCACTGTTTCTTCTTTCTATGATCCTCTTTTTGCTTCCATTGTTTAATTCTATTAATCAATAAATTTGTTAAATTGTGTTAAATTGATCCGAGCAAGAATAATTTAATAGATGAAACTTTATTTATATCATAGGTTAATATAACAGGTTTTGACGATCAATTTCGGACACCCCTATCAAGAATGCACCTACTCTTAAATACTTGTTTATTAATGTTAATGTTAATTTAACGTTAATATTAACATTGGAATTTATTATTTGGGGTGGGTACGTTCTTGATAAGGGTGTCCAAAATTGATGGTCAAAATCTGTAATGGGATTGATATTAATGAGGAACAACTGTATTAAAATCTCTTTATATATATCAAATTTAATATGTTCCCTTATAATATCATTATCAACATAAACATAAAAGCGATCTAAATAGATTGTTATAAATGAGGACGACTGTATAAAGATAGTATTTTGAATTAATAGACTTTGCAGGATAAGTTATATAAATTGCACATTTTGATTAAGAATACAGTTTATAATTGTTATTGCATAAGGTATAGATTTTGTACTAATTGAATTTAACGGATTATTTTAGATGTACAAACAATGATGCTTTTTAAATAGGTTCAAGTAAAATATGAGTAAAATGGAATGGGTTTGCTTGAGATATGCAAAGTAGAAGTATACTTGATTTTGTTTATTTTGAACAGAAGTAATATTTATTTATGCAGAATAAAGATTAAGATAATCTAGATGATTAATAGATAAAATAATAAGTTTTATATATTAAGAGGTAGATACGTTTGGATTAAACACTTCAAGATATACTATGTTTTTAGTGTGATATGTTCTATTATTATCGTCAAAGGAAGGGAGTAAAATAAATAAGTTTGTTGGGTCTGTAACCCGAGATAATGCGACATATAATTGACCATGTGAAAACACTGGTTCATGTAGATAGATGCCAACAGAATCTAATGTTTGTCCCTGGCTTTTGTTTATAGTCATAGCAAATGCAGGTATTACTGGAAATTGTCTACGAATAAATGTAAAAGGTAGTTCATTATTGCTTGGTGAAAAAGATATACGGGGAAGCAAGACTCGATTATGAGCATATAGGCTTTGTAAAATTTCTGCTTCTAGTACATGCTTGTGAATTGCTTTGCAAATTGGATGTTCTATAGAATAGATGGGTAAACTCCGCAAACTCAGCAACTCTGCTATTAAAAAATTAATGATTATTAATCATTATCGAAGCTTATTTCTCATATTGCCCACCTATTCTATAGAATATCCTGCAAATTAGACGTGTGCTATTGCACAGGCCTTGTGCTTGATTGATATTACGTAATAACATAATAGGAGAGCTGACTTTGAGATTAAGGTTATGAGGTGGAAATCCTGACAATGTTAATGTATTTAAAAACTCTATTGAAAAGAGATTTATTTGAGTAGAGGTGGCTGATGCAGGATCTAAAGTATCAGCACTAAGGCATTAATGAATGTTATCAGGAAAAGAGTTCATAATAATATTATTAATTTCAATAACATGCTTATTTCGGTGAACTAAGATTACTCATTTAAGTAATATTTTAGGATTATGAAGAAAATCAGTTAAATTTGAATATACAGCAGTTATAAGATCTGATAGTGAAGTAGAATGTAAAACTATATCAGAAGGAAGGTTAATAATATCATCTGTATCAGCAAGGATATGTGCACACCCTTCTTCAACTTCAAGAAGCCATTCTAAGAATTTGGTTTGTATATTTATATTAGATGTATTTACAATATGTTTAAGATGTATATTAATTGTTAAATGCATTAATATAATATGTGATCAGAGTGGAGATTTATAGATGCATGCAAAGACTGTTTCTTCACGACCACCCTTTGGAACAACAGGTAAGATTTGTCTAAAATTACCACCAAAAATGATTATTTTTCCACCAAAAGGTATTTCATTTAATATGGAATCAACAGCTTTTATAATATCATGTAAAGATCAATCTACAGCTTCAAGTGCATAATGATGTATCATGGGAGCTTCATCCCATATAATTAGAGTTGTGTGTTGTATAAGACGTGCCAATTGAGAATTATGTGTAATAGCATAAGTAGAATTTTCATCAGGATTTATAGGAATTTTTAGCTGAGAATGCGCTGTTCACCCTCCTTTAAGAAGCAAAGCAGCAATACCTGAAGATGCAACTGCTAAAGCAATAAGCCCTTGTTTTCATACCCATGCAAGAAGAACAGAGTATAAGAAGGTTTTTCCAGAGCCACCTGGTCCACATTGATTATATTTGTTGATAATAGCTTTTGTGACTGCAGAAAATATTTTAAGTTGATCTTGATTTAATTTATTTTTATTGATTTCATAAAATTGAGCAAGTAAATGTGTGTTATAATTTAATTCTTCATGAATAAGTTGATCTGTATTATCAGAAATTTCAGATGGAAGAGGCATAGGTGGAAATTCTTCAAGAGAATGACCTTGAAGACGAAGAATACTTTGTAAATCTACTAATGCATAATTTTTAGCACTTTTAGTAGGATCAATGTGAGTATTATTGGTAGTATTACATAAATGATATAAAATATCATCTGTTAGTATATTTAAATGATTGTTCCAAAGTTTATCAGGGCGAGTAGGGCCACAAAACAAAAGAATAGTTGCAAACAGATGTCTTAGTTGTAAACCTGATTGAAGCATTGAAGCTTCCTTTAGACATTCATTCCATTCTTTATCTTCTTGATGAAGTCCTAAAGCATTACAGGCTTCTTTAAAGGTATTGTATAAAACTCCATTAACAGTACGAAGATTTTTAAAAGAAGTAGCACCTTTTATAGTATTAAGTAGTAAGCGAAGAAAGTATTTTTCACCTGCTAAAGGTTGAACAAAATATATATGACCAATTACATTTTCTTTTTTGAGAGGTTTCCATTCTTTCAATTTAGAATTCCACACAAATTTAGTAGGAAAGTCAGAATAGGAAAGATTCTTTGCAATATGTACATAATTTTGATTATTATTTGCTGTAAACCATTCAGTAAGAGTTGTCTTTTCTATGTTGTTTCGTTGTAAAATATTAATAGGTGTTTCATGATCCTGAAAAGTAACATAATGTTTACCAGGAAGATGAATTTGTAATCGTTAAACGCTAGGTTTCTCTTCATACAAGGTGAATTGAAATATTCGCCATGTTGCTTCAGATGCAGAGCATCTTGGTATAATTTTAATTCATTTATAGATTTATTTTCAGAGCCTGATGATATTTTAATTGTTGCACAATCATGACCTTTATATATGTATTTGTATAGATACTTGACAGCAGTTATTGAAGAGCAAATTTCAACATTTATATGTGCATTATATTTAATACAAAGTGCTCGACAATGTGGTACTACCCATTGATTATTTAATTTTACTTTATTTACTAATATAGTTTTTTCGTCATCACGTCTTCTATAAATTGGATAACTATTCTTACTTTCTGTTGTTGAGGAACAAAAAGGTTTTAGATAATTTTTTGAGCATTTTCTATTTTTCATACATGGAGCATTTGGATTATATACACCACATAGGCCATGAATCATAAAGTTTGTAACAGTTTCATATGCTAAACTATTATTTTCATTAGGAATCTCAGCTGAAACAAAATTGTCATAGTCAGATGCAGTGTGGAATTTATTATTAGGGTGTAAAATTAGAAGAATATGAACATGAGGTAGTCCTCTCTTTTGAAATTCTACTATATAAATGTATGCCACAACTTCATCAAAAAAATTATATTCTGTAATATCTTTAATTAAATTTTTTAACTTTAAACAAAATACAGTGGGGTACCATATTATTATGGACACTTTTTAAAAATTTATATTGAGTTAAATAAGCAAGATATCAAGTCCAAAATTATATAAAAAATTGCCTAAATCTAAGGCTTTAAAATAAAAAAAAATTCATAAAATTCTATGCAGTAGTTGTTGAAATAGTTATTGTTACACAAAAATGTGTAATGTTACACTTGTACGAAAATAGTAATTGTACAAATTTGGTTAGATTAAGTTTTTTATAAAATAAAAAATTTTTTATTAA